ATATATATAATTGTTGTAACTATTAGCCAAATGTGGTGGTACAAACCTATAATCTCACCACTGGGGAAGCTGAGGCAGAAGGACTGTCATGAGTTCAGGGCCTGTCCGAATTACACAGCATGACCCTGTCTCAAAAAATAAAAAATAAAAAAAGATTACAAAAAAAGAGAAAGAATTGTTAGATCAATTACCTCCTACTTGAAAATAAATAGTAAATGTGTTACAAATAGTGCTAGCTAGGCACAGCAGTATGTACCTGTAATACTTAGCAACTCATGAGGCTGAGGCAGGAGATAGTAATCACTTGGGCCCAAGGGTTTGAGGCCAGCCTGGACAACAGTAAAAAGCAAAAATCAAGTATCTATAAATTTATGTGTAGGGGCCAGGGAGATGGTTCAGTGGAATAAGTGCCTGTCAAGCACAAGGTCCTGAGTTTGATCCCTGGTACCACCAAAATAAATAAAATAAAATAATAGTAATTTATGTGTAAATATGTTTATGTAAGCAAAGAAAAACATTTAGGGTAGAAGAGAAAAATGCTTTTGTCTGCAAAAGTACTGCCTATATTTGCAATGTTTCTGCTATTTTAACAAATGTCCTGTATTTGTTAACCTGGAAAACATCAAAGGAAAAGACATTAACCTGTCAAAGACCCATGCACCTGTCCAGATATAAACTGGAAATGATCTGGCTGATCATTTCTCTGAAGCGTTCAAACTTCCATTTGTTACTAACAGCTACCGTTTATTGAATGTTTTATGTCCAATCCTATACTGTGGCTTTGAGATTTTATCTTACTGGATCCTGTCAACTCACTATTAAATGGGTAAATTACATTTTTTTTCCTGATGGATAAAACTGGGTGTAAAGGTGAAAGTATTTCTGAAGTTCACATAGTCAAAAGCTGGTAAAACTATTATTGATCCAAAATCCATACTTATAGCTCCCTACACTAAAAGTCCTTGAACGCTGCCCAAATTTAATGTCGAGATCACTACTAAATGACTTACAAAACATTTGCTCACAGCCTTTCTGTGTATCTTCTTTCTTTTCAGATCAACACTGCAGTTCTGTGCATCAGCTCCATCAGAGCTAAGGAATGGGACTCGAACAAGCAATAG